TTATTATTATTATTGTTATAATAATAACAATAATAAAAATAATAATAATAAACAGAGGGGAGATAATAGAGGAATTAAGCCGATTCATACATAGGGATTATCACTATTTCCATGGGGAAATTTGGCCAGGACACTGGGGTAACACCCCAGTGGTGCCAGACTGCAGGGGTGTATAAAGGGTGCACTCTGGGATGAAAAGCGTCGATGTAAGGAATCAATATTGCACTAAGACCCTGATGAGTGTGCTGTTGCTCTGCTGTCAGCACCCCCTTTCAGTAGCCCCATTATGGACATGTTCTGCTTTAAACCCTTGCTGACACACCGGCTCATTCTCTTGATAAACTCTTTAATCCCAGTGGACGTCTTGCTCCCAAGGATATATTCCACTAAGCCTCCCCGTGCCAATCTGTACAAATATTTCAAAGGAAGGGGAACTTGATTAAACACTAGCAAAAAATATATATGGCCTAGAACTGACATGTGCTGAATCTACCCCCCCTTTTCTAATGAAAGAGAACAGGTATGTGTGAAACTGTGAGTGAGCTAGAGAAGGAGACAGATGTGGAAATATTTGGCCTTGACTTTCTTTGGATACCGATACAAAAACAGTAGCCTGGAGCCGGATTTTCAAACTGTTTGCTCGCATTAGCAGAAACAAACACAAGGCTGATCTAAGAGCAGTCCAGACACAGGTCCAGCAGGAATATTATTTGGAATTTATGGTAAGATCTGTCCTGTGAACTTCTATAAACAGGTAGCAGAAAAGACTGGGCAGAGGTTTTGCCAAAGGGGCTTTGTAAATTGACATTCTACGTTTTCTTACTTTTAAACATGGGCTTTTAACACCAGCAGGTCATGGACTGTGGCACCCCGTCTCAGAGCAGGAGGAGTTAGAAAGAGAGTTCTCAAGTTGTGCTTTGAATACAGTGTGAGTACAATCTTGGGTGAAATGACTTGAAGAGAAAAGGTCAATAAGAGAATAAAAATGGTCAAGCACTGTGTCCACAGTGAATTTCCTTCTCTTGTTCATTAGTTTGATGTGCATTTAACCTCCAAAGACCCTGGACTGTCCCCCAGGACCCTGAATATGCCACAGTATTATGACATTCAAAGTGCCTTGATCCTGTTGAGGAAATCTGTGCTTCTCTCTCATGGTTTAAAAATGCCTGCTTCTGGAAAGGATCTCAGGGATCTGCTGTAGTTACTTTATTCTGATTTTCACTTCCTTGATGATAAAAGGCATGTTTCTTCATTGCTGTTCTATGTTAAGATCCAGTGTGTGTCTTCACAAGAAACTGAGCAGCATAAGCACACAAACTATAGTGAAGACAAGTGTCCAGTAGGACAAATATCGAGATATTATCAATATATCGATAAATATCAATATATGTCACATTCATACATTAACATACGCTATAATGCTTGAAATCCATTTTTAATGTTTTATTTTTCAGTGAAAATCTAAACCTAAAAGAATAAAAAAAAAAGTCACAAAGAACATTTGAATGCCAACATTAAGCAACATTAGTCTTGGTTCATAAACCCCTTTCTTTCAGTTTCATATTACATGTTTTTAAAGTTTTTCTGAAAGTACAGATACTGAGAGAAATCACTGAAAGATGGAAATAAACTCAGTGACAATCCCCAGGGTGCCTGAGTGATTAAATATATATAAAACAGTATATATATTTTTTCATGGTTTTATGAAAACTTCTAAGAAGTACTGTTTTGTAGGTGAGGTTTATGTAATTGTGTTTTTTACTTTTATTATTGCCATTATATTTGTGTTCTGAGGATTTCTTAAGAATGCCAATGGATTCTTTAATCCATTTGTACATTCAGACACACTAATGCACTTAACCATTATACCGTTAACCTCATCAAAACCTTTGTTGTCATCTTCAAGTACCATCTCCTCAGAACTGACATCCACAGGGGGCAGTCGTCCCAACTGAAAATTCCCAAAATTCTGAAAAAGTTCCCCCCAAAAAGTTAAACTTTAAAGATTCACATTTTCAGCACTTCCTAACTGAACTCATTTTTGTAGTCTTGTAGCATGACTGAGATGGAAGACCGACCTCTGTGTTATAAGAACTGATGTTTAAAAGGGTAACTCTCCCACCTGCCAGCCATTTTAATTATACTTTCTTTACATTATTTCCATGAATCACGTACAGTAGCCTTTGTCAGTGTATTTAGTTCATTCTATTAAGTAAGGTGTCAGTACAGTCTTCCTGGCTGCTTGCACATGTGTAACGTGCTTTAATGTCTGGCACAATAAGTTTCAGTCAGTTTTCCAAGTCGAAAGTTTACTATGACTTCTGCAAGTTTCCATTTTTTTACCATTTGTTCCATTTGATGTATTTTTCACATTTCTTACTGTGAATTTGGGAGAAAACGGAATGAAACTCTTTTTGCCCAGTGGGAAGCTGGTAAGTTGAGGATACAAAATTAATATTCTCCCTCATTCATCTTCATTTAAGAGCAAGGTGCAGGGTTCCGTTCGTAATGCCAGTGGCCCTCTCCCTCAGGTACTATTCCACGCACATTATTTTAATTAATGAACTGTCTAGGGTCTCCTAGATTTGCTTGTAGCAGACATATGTCTGTTCACTCTTGAAATACAGTATGTCGGAGTACTGAGTCTGAGAAACAGTGTGGGGTTTTTATAGATGCTATTTTGCATGCAGATTCCCTGACATTTAGGTTTTTTGGTTTCTCTCATATCTTCGCAAAAATGGTGCAATTTGATCGTCAGAGATCAATCCTATTCAGAGGTATTAGCTTGAGAATAGGTAATTGTAATTATCCCTTTTCCCGCAGCTTCCTGGATCATTCCAAGTCATGAAAGGGTGTTACCCCAGTGTCCTGGCAAATTTCCTCCTGGTCTTTACCAGTCATGACCTCCTAATAATCCCCATCTCTGAACTGGCTTCATTTCTCTGCTCTCCTCCCCACAGATAGCTGGTGTGTGGTGAGCGTACACACTCAGTGTTTTTTTTAACTGCGATACAAATGAAAGCACCATCATGCATACATCATATCTGTTGCAAACGAATCTCTTATGAGGAGAGCCAGAATCATCTTTGTGCTTGATGTGACTCATTGAGTCCTTTTTTCTAAAATAAAAAAAGCTGGACGGCCTAGAAGCCGAGATTAGGAAGATTAGCCAGGCAACCTCTCTGCAGCGCACAGACGAAACAGAGCTGTTGTTGTTAACAACGTTAGCAGCACGCGCCACAAGAGAGAGGTGGGAGAGGTCGTGCAGAGGCCTGAGTGATAACACTGTGATTGAGGGTCCTGCTCCACCACAACGCAATCAGAGGCAGCTGTGGCATTCATGACCGGCGGTGTCAAAGGGCTTTTCTTTAATCGATGAGAACACAGGCAGTAATAAATCCTTAGGGAGCAGCCCCAGCAGTCCCCCAAAAGACCCCTACTGCCCTGCACTCTTCCTTTGCAAGGGGGAATCGGAGAAGCAGGGAGCGTCGCTTAAGACTTTTATTACTGTGTGCATAGCGGAAGACGTGCAGGGCTTAGTTCAAGAACAGCCTGTCTTCGGTTTCTACACAAACCGACACGCACGGACGTGTTCTTGATTAGTTTTTTCAGCAGACCCCAGCTTGCTCTCCATGAGACACACAGACAGGGAAAGCAGCTGGGGGTCAGAGCGCAGGGTCAGCCATTTATACGGCGCCCCTGGAGCAGCTGGGGTGAAGGGCCTTGCTCAGGGGCCCAGCGGGGTAGGATTCCTCTGCCGGTCGGGGGATACGAACCGGCAACCTTCGAATTGTGTGTTTGTCTGTTTTTAATTAGTCTCGCATCCTGTTTTCCTTTTTATTGCTTCTCCATATTGTCTAGAAGTTGTACAATAA